TCACACAGAGGCACCCCCCCCCCCCGAGGGTGGTTTGGAGGGGTGGGGGTCAGTGAGGAGGGGATTAAGAGGTGGGGAATAGAGGGAATCCGAATAGGAACCTCTGACCGCTTCGGCCGGGGGCCGAGGCGAATCTTTTTTGCTACTATTTTGATAGCATGAGATAAGCTATTGATGTTATGATTCTTGTTATTGTTCTGGTTATCATTGGCTTCATTATTCGTATTTGTCACTGTGGTTTTGTGCTCTGCGCGAGATGCGCCAGTTCCGGTAATTCTGTGTGGCCGAGCTGACCCCTCACCCTCGACCCTCGGTGACTCGGTGAAGAGCCGGTGAACTCGAAGCCCTACACTGCGGCCCGAAGGAATCCGGTGTGGCTCAGCCATGGAGGGGAGAAGAAGAAAATGGTCCAAAAGGACAGCATTCATGTAGCTTGATCTTTGGGAGAGTATTTGGTTATTAGGTACTTGGACCCTTAGGGTTCATTCTCGGACCTTCAAAGAGAGCTTTTGCATGGGACCTGCTTGGAGCTTCTCCCGAAGCTTTCGAGGGTTTTGGAACTTGGGCTCATTGCAGCACCTTCTTCGACGGCCATACCCTGTCTTCGTTTCGGTGTGCAAAGCAAAACAACTCCCCCAAAGGAATGGGATCCGAACAAATCAGCTGCGGTATCTTGGCCCTAAGACCTTACAACAACCCTATAATCTCTCTATTGCTGAAAAAAACCTTTAAAAAAAGCCTAAGCCGCCTTGGCAGGAGACTGCCGAAGTGGAGACTGGAGATCGGATATTGCTTTACACCGGGGCTTCGGATGGTCCCCTGTCATACAACACAGCCCTGGGGGGCTGTTTCTTCCTGGCCTGGGCGGGTTTAGGGTTTATACTTCTCTCGGCAAGGGGTCCTGTAAAAGGTCCTACACGGGCTACTATAGCACCCAAAACCCTAAACCCAGGTTATAGGTTGGGTGGTGTTAAGTTCGGTCGGAGGGGTGTAGGGCTCTGCTCTCCATGTCCTACAGACCGTCGCCGCATCTGCCAGAACCCCAAACATTACTGGCCCTAAACCCTAAACCCTAAACCCTGAACCCTGAACCCTAAACCCTAAACCCTAAACCTATTCTTGAGGACTTTGGTTCGGGTTATCACAAGCAACCATGTTTCTACTGTAGATCCCTGTTATGGTAACTTTCATAATAAGGTTCCCTAAAAAGGTAGGGTTTTGTTCGGCCACAGGTGGTAGCTATGTAGGTTGCTAGTTGGGAGGGTATATGACTGTTGGGTACTTGGACCCATAGGGTAGGTCTTTGTAAGGTCTTCATTAAAAAGCCACTGTTATACAGACCAGGTTTCAGAACCCTCAACCCTGAACCCTCAACCCTGAACCTAAACCTCTAAACCGTAAACCCTAGATAAGCTTAATCCTTAGGCCCTAAGCCGTAAACCCAAAGCCCTTGCACTTAGGCACGCCAGACGGTCCAGGAAGTCGGGGAACTGTTGCCTGGATCGTGGGCAGAGATGCGTAACAAAAAGGTGCCTGCAGCGAGGTAGAGGGCTTTCACTGTGCCCCTCGGTCTAGAGGCTTTTTAGGGCCTGGCGCCTAGCTTCAGGCAGAGCTTTCTTTTTGTTGGGGGGGGGCTCGTCCTGTCGGTGCCTGCTCATATCCCTCAACCCTAAACCCTGAATCCTCAAACCCTAAAGCCCGTAAGCCCCCCCTAAACCCCTAAACTCCTAACCCTAAACCCCAATAACCCTATCATCACAGGTTTTGAGCTTCCTTGCTTCTAATTGCACATCCCTTGCCGGAGCATCTTGCCGGGAACGAGAAGCAAAGCCGGGGAGCGCAGACCCCCTAGGAAACCCTTCCAGTCAGTTTGGGGTTTAGGCTTTAGGTTTAGGTTTTAGGGTTACCGATCTTGCGAGACATGATTTAATGGGCTTACTCTGCAGCTAGTGCTTCAGAGGTTTCGGGTTTAGGGTTTAGGTTGCAAGGGTTGAGGCGTTGGGCTCTTGTTTCCAAGGGGTGTCGTACCAAGCGACTTGCCGTCAGGCTCTGAAGCCAGAGCCAGACCAAATCTGACTAAGGAGGGGTCCCCCATAGACCCTGAACCCTAAACCCCAGATCCTCAACGCAAGAACAACCCGGCCTTAGGCTATGCAACCCCATCGGAGTCTTGAGACCTGATCTTCTTCTGCTTTTTTGTTTCGTTTTAAGCGGGGTCTTGTTTTAAGAAGGTGTCATATGTCCCTGAACCCTAAATCCTAAGCCCTAAACCCTAAACCCTTCCTCAATTCCCTAAGCCCTTTACGCCCTAAGCCCTAAATCCTAAGCCCTAAACCCTTTACTTAGAAATTAAGCCCTGAGCCTCAATTCCCTAAGCCCTTTACGCCCTAAGCCCTAAACCCGAGCTATATTTAGGGCTTTCTACACTTCAAGTTGGGATCCAGGGATTCTGGGTTTCCCGTTTGAAGTTTGCACGGGACACCATGGGGTTCGGCCTTAGAACGATGTCCACGGGTTTAGGCTTCAGAATTTTTGGGGTTTAGGGCATGGGGCTTAGGGGCTCTACGTTTAGGATTTTAGGGTTTGGCGTTTAGGGTTTAGTAGTTGAGGGCCTGGGGCTTGGGGCTTAGGGGCTCTAGGTTTAGGATTTTAGGATTTGGGGTTTAGGGTTTAGGGAAGCGGCGGGGCTGTCAGGAGAGCTTTCTTTAAGAACCCTCTTCTGCCTGGTTAATCCCTCTGGTGCTTTCGGCTTTTTTGGGGTTTGGCCCACCTAAACCGTTAACCCCTACACCCCTAAACTCTGGGGTGGGCACGGATCCCTAACCCCAAAGGCCCTAAGCCCCAAAGCCCTAAACCCTAAACCTACTCAACTCTTGCGAAACCCCCAAAATGTTGTGCACAAATCGGCATAATAGCCTTTATACCCTAAGCCCTGAAGCCTCCCTACCTAGACCCTCCATCTACCCTCCCTTTACCCCTGTTTGAGGGTAGATGGAGGGTCCTGGTAGAATTATGCTCGCTGGCAGGCTTTGTTGGGCTTGCAAAGCTGACAGGCGAGTTGGATTACGGCTGAAAGGTTTCGTAGGTTTGTAAGGCATGTTTAGGTGGGGGTTTCCGAAAATAGGGGACCCTAAAATAGTACCCCAAATAGTAGGATCCTTATTATAAGGGCCCCAAAATAAGGTACCCCCCTTCTTCTCGGAAACTCTCATATGGCTCATCAGGGTTTATGGGGTTGCTTAGAATTTGTTCCTTCCGAGATCAAGCTGGTTGAGTGCTTCAGGGAGCATCTCACATCCTGATGATGATCATATGCTTTGATGATGATGCCTGCTGACACGACCAATCGTAACAGCAGTAGATATACTTAGAAGGGTAGCATCGACAGTTTTCGTTTGTCTAGCAAACGTACTTTGATAAGCAACGACAGTCATAACAGTCATAGTAGTATTCATTCAGTAGTTGTAGCGGTAAAAATAGCATTGCTGACTGGAGTTGCTAAGCCGAAGCTTCAATGAACAGCCTCGTTCGGCTTCTTTCGGGGTCTCATACCCGGAGATGGGGCTGCCCAACACTTCAACTCTTTGAGTTTGTTAGAGAGGTCGGAAGAATTGGTGCTGGTATCCCTTCAAAAACAGGGTCCTCAAGGGTGTTTAGGGGTTCAGTAAAGTTGAGGGTGGCGGGTTTTAGGATGTAGGGTTTTGGGGCTTTAGGGCTCTAGGTTTTTGGGGGTTCAGGGTTTAAGGCTTCGGTTTAGGATTTGGGGGCCCTAAACCCTAAACCCTCAACCCTAAACTTATTTTTAGCTCAGGACTTTGGGTTTTGGGTTTAGGGTGTTCGGGGTTCGAGGTTTACGCTTTCATTCCCTGCAGCATCGTGGCCACTAGTGGTGAGGCACTTTTTCGGAGACTCCGCTGACACTTGTTACACTCATACTGCGTATATGTATACCAGACATATATATATATAACACATTATACATGTGTTTGTACATACATAAACAGATGATGTGCCCTCATGTGTTGGATGACTGTGTGCAAGAGATGGCGTGCAAAACTTCTTCACCCTTTCAAGATGAGGACGGCTGCCAGGGTTTTGGGGTGTCTTTAGGGTTTTTTCAGGCTGCCCGATACTCCTCAAATCGGGAATGTACCGTAGATCATAAGACACAAGTCCCCTCGAACTTAAATCATATTCTTTAAGGTTGTTGGGCTCGCGGAGTTGCCACTGCACGTAATGCATTCTCACTTGAATTGAAATCTCGTTTTGGCAGCTCGCGTTCGGCTTTAGCTTTGCGCCACCATTGCTTCGGACTTCGTGACTTCGACGGCCATGTGGCGCATCCTCGCCACCTTCTGCGTTGCAGCCTCCGCCGAGTTCCAGAGTGAGAATATACTGGGTAACCTTTAACCTTTATGGGCTTATAACGGCTTATATGATCCTACTGGCACCGTAGTTGAGAAGGTTAACATTTTGTGCGCCAACTTAATTGCTCGATGCCTAAGGCTCACCCTTGACAATATGGGTGACCTGTCAAAGACCTTGGACAACAAAGCGGATGAGTTGAAAGCAAAGGTGACAGAATTGAGTCAGAAAATTGCCCCTCTGACCGCCAAGATTCCCCAGATCCCGGGAAATTTGACAGCCACGATGGAGGAGAGGAAGGCGATGCTCAAGGAGGCAATGGCAGAAATCTGCAAAGAAGTGGGTTCTTTGACTCAGGTCAGTTCTGCCATCGAGACGAGCTCGGCCGATGCCAAGGCAAGGTGGCCAAGGTCAATGCAGAGCTGGCCGCAGATCCCGCAAAAGCCACCAGCGAGGACGGACCCAAGTTCCAGTACTACCTGAACAACATGCAGAAGGCCATCATGACCTACCAATCCGCGCTCTCCACCGCCAATACCTACACGGTTGCCATGGGGCAAGTCTGCAAGGTGAATGATGCGGCAGAAGCGGCGACCAGGCTCTACGCCGAGATGAACCCAATGGCCTCTTCCAAGCTTCTAAGTCATAGTTGAGTAACGATGGTTCATGGTTTTTAGGAGCTCTCCAACCCCCCAACAAAAATCTAGAAATACTTAGACCCGAAACCTCATAGGCCCTATGTAGACCGAAACCTCTAAACCTCAAGCCCGAGACGCCCTAAGCCCTCACCGCCAAATCCTGGAGCCATGAACTAGGTTCCACTTGCCCTCCGCCCTCTTGGGTGCAGTGGCTGCATCGGGGCTGGGAGCTGCTGCTTACCTACTTAAGCTGAACTACGTAGTTTTCCAAGACCAAAGTGTTACACTTCTGGGGATTTTTATAACTCAGTATTGTCATGAAAGTTTACGCATTCATGTCTTTGGTTATTGGAGACGTGATTAGGTCCTTATAAAGGTTCCATAAGGATTCCTTTATGGGTTTAGGGTTTTGTTTCGGGCCTGCTTAGAGGGTCAGGGGACTTCGCAAATCAGGTATGGCAAATCAACTTATAACTCGTGTTGCGATGTGCAAAAGCTCGCTTACTCGGTAAATTCCCAACAAGAGTACCCTTAATCTTTCTGGGTTCATATCTCCTCAGACTAGGATGTGCAAACTTTGAGGGCTAAAATAGTTGATTACATCATAAAATGTTTCATCTTTTTGGGCCTTACCCATAGGCTCCTTAGTAGTTCCTTTTTGGGATTACCTTATCGGATTCTAAATACAAACCACAAAAAGGAACTACTTAGGAGCCTATGGGTACAGTTGGCAAAGATAAAGACTTAAGACTTTCCTGGCCTGGCTTGTTGAACAACGGAGGCTATGGTCGTCTTCCGCACCACAAAGGCCTCACGTTCTCAGGCATCTTGGGTCTCCAACACTAACTTATACAATTTTTGGTTTCTTACAAGTTGGTACTGTTCTTACAGTTTAAACTATTACCTCGGATATTCGAGAAGCAAGGTATCCTTGATGGAAGAGGGTACTTTGGAGTGAAGACTCCAGCAGCAAAAGCCTGCGTTCGCTTTAGAGCAACTTTTGGCTTGCGCCATCTGACAGGTTGGTGGCAATCTGGGTCGTCTATCAGAGTAGCCACGACAACGGTGGCCCGCTCGTTTCAAGTACGCCAGCAGTCTTTGGAGATCTTGAAAACGGAGCTACTTTGTGTCTGTGCTTCTTAATTTTTTGGCTTTCTCATCTACTTTTTCATGTACTTGGCTGTCTATCTGTTTATATGCTTATTTGCTTGCCTACTCGTTCATGTGATCAAGACGGAGCCTGGAAGGCTGAGACGGGACAAGCTGCGGTTGAGGGTCGAGGGCGTGTAGCGGCTTAAAGCTTAGAGGGGGCCCTGGGTTTTCGAAGAGGGTTCTTCAAACGATTTTTTTGGTTTAGATCGCCCATTAAAGCTGCAGGAGTTTGTGGGATTTTGGGGGGTTTAAGGGTTGAGGGTTTAGGAGAAGTGGCTTCGATGTTAAGGCTTCGAAGGTTTCGGAATCCGGTGTTTGTCAATTTGCTGGAGGGTTTAGGGTTCAGGGACTCTCTGCATTCTTTGTAAGAGCCGTGCTTCGGATGTGACTGCGTTGTAAGGCCAGCTTGCCAAGTCACATGAAGTAGGGTTTGTATTCTCGTTTTGGTGAGTGCAATTAGGGTCCCCTTAAGCATTGGTGAGGTTATACGGTTGATGATATAAGTCCTGCATTACGCATAAGAAGGAATCTACCATAGTTCCCATAGTTTAGGAGTCTTAAGGTAATGCAGTACAGTATGTATACGTACCCTAAACTCTAAACCCTAAACCCTAAACCCTAGACCCTGAACAACAGTAGCTTCAACAGTACAATGGGGACACTGGGAATTAAAACCACATACCAGGACATCATCGGACCTCGGGCCTAGAAGCACAAACCCTTTGTAGCTTACTTTCTACTTTATATACGCATTATGTATAGACACACATATTATATGTATATACACCCATGTTGGATAAAGTGCATGTGTATATTGTATATACATACAGGTACATACATACATACATACATACATACATACATACCTACATACATACATACATACATACATACATACATACATACATATGCATCGTAGCGAATGCATGCCAGCTTTCGAAGTTAATTGCATGGAATCGCAGGTGCCTGCGCCGTGGCCTCCGCTGTGACGAGCTGCGGGGCTTCGGAAAAAGATCGCTTCGATTGTGAAACATCCAGCACAGTAAGACGATCACGGCTATGGTTTGGGGATTGTTTTCATACAGTAACAGTCTATAATAGGGCTACTATAAAACATATATCCATATTATGAATACTCCTCAACAGTTACTGAGTGGGGGCCGTATCCAATTATGGTGCCAGTACAGTAAGAAGACGCCCATGCAATCCATGCAGATGTACAGCATCTTCATCGGGACTGTGAATTAAGGGTCCCTAAACCCTGACGAAGATTTGCCTTGTAACCCTACGGGTAGATGTCACTAAGCCCTAAACTTTAAACCCCGAATCCTAAACACTAAAGTTAAAGTTCTGTTGTTGCAGCTGGCGAGCCGGACAGTTGCATCGAGCAGGTTGCACTTTGCGCTGCGTTTAAGGCTTGCAGCCATCACGTGTGCAGCTTTTGGAACAGGTACATTCCAGCAACCGAAACTAGAACTCATCGCATCGTAACTCGTCTGCTCTCGTATCATCTGTCTCTTACTGTGCTACGGTGGTTGTTGTTGCCGTCGCAATTTACTAGGAGGTGTCCCGTGAGCCTTCAAACTTTGACGGGGCATTCTGACCAGAGCTTCAGCTGTCTTTGAAAGCAAGAGGTCTGACTAGGGTTTAAATTTAGGGTTTAGGGAATATGGCCTCGCACACAAGCCCACAATTTCTTGTGCATCAACGTAATTACGCGCGCGAAATCTCGGCCCGGCAAGGTTTGTCTCCATCTGCAGTGTGTCATGTTGCATGCCAGCAATGATGTACGACATGTTCTCGAATTCGTACCTTTTATTGTTTACGGAGCACAAGCATTGACAAAGAGTCCGGCAAAGCACGACCGGTGTTAATTTAAACCTGACGCGTGAGCTGGTTGCGTTGTTCGTGATCTCCAGCCGCGGCGCCATGTCCCGTGTGATGTCCGGTCTAAAACCTTAAACCCTCAAATAGGAATCTGGTGATGGCTATGCTGCTGACTCACCTCACGCAACTCCCGCACGGCTTGGGAATTATGGCATGAGTCAGCCTTCGGCAGTTGCGGAGATGCGATCGGAAAGCGGATGCGAAGTGTGCAAAAGGCACTTGCTGGCAAGATTGTGATTGTCAATGTTAAAGATTGGTGCCAAAGGGTAGCGATGGGTTCCCGCTTGGGTTGTACATATTCATGCAAAACGTTGCGAAGGCGAAGCGGATGTAGGCTAAAAGGCTCGCGTGAAGCTCACGACAAGATCACGCAGTATTGGCAAGCCACGTTGACTTGCATGGGCCATCTGCTGCCATCTGGGATCGATGGTGAAAGGACAATTGTCGCGAAAATCCCGACCTGCATCATTGGGTGGAAGGCAGGGACAAATTGAGGCTCCCGTTACATAACTTGAAATAGTAGAGCCTAGCAGTATAGTGCTGTTTTATCAGGACCCCCGTAGACAGAACCGCAACTTCAAGAACGCATTCGGCGATCGGAAGCGGACCGCAACATGGCGCATCGAAAGCTCCGACGGGTGAGCTCCTAGCCGGTGGTGGCGAACCTCTCAGAGTGCCCTCTGGCTTCAACGCTTCAGGGGCTCAGATGGTCAAGGGCATGCTGACGATGGTGACGACGGTGACGATGGAGGATGTTGCTGGTGGGTGGTGGGTGGTGGGTGCTAAACCCAAAATACTTGTTGTTGATGCCAGTATTTTGGGTTTAGGGTTGTTGGGGTTTAGGGTTTAGGGTCAACATTGATGCAGCTGTACCTTGTTTCCAGCAGTGTAGGTGCCCAGTCCCTCTGCCCCACGCCGCGGCTCCGCAATCCGGAGCCCGAAGCCTTCGCCCAAAAAGCAGCAGTTGTAGAATGGTTGGTAGTGCAGCCATCGTGGAAATAGCTGCATCGAAGCCAGCAGTGGCATGAGCGCTGAGCTTTTCGACTTTGCCTCTCGATCCTGCTAACCCCGCGACTCTGAACCCTTTCCCCACTCCCGGAGATAGAGCTCTGCCCATCGAGGTCGGTCCCGGCGAAGGATGGCTAGCCCGGCAGAGAATGAGGACAGGGCCTTGCAGTGTGACTGCCGGTTTTTGTGCACATTTCGGGCCGGTCCCCTCTAGGCTTAACCTTTCATAGTCCCTATACTCCTAGCACTGTCTGTACCAAAGCAATGTAGACAGCTCTAGTCTGGCGTCTCTCATGAGAAAAAGCCATTCACCTAGGGTTTACCTTGCCTTCAATTACCATACCTTTCTCTTTCGTAGTTTCTTACTAACACGAAACCTACAAAACAAGCAGGTTTTGCCGGGCTATAGCTTAATGGTAGAGGTAGAGCTGTAGAGGTTTACACTTTAAGGTTTGAGACATGGGGCCGTGGAGCCTGACGCACGGTGCAGGTGTTTGGGTTTGGTAGGATGTTTGGGGTTTGGTAGGTTTAGGGTTGAGGGCTTCTGCTAGGCTTTCCAAACCCAAACCCTGAACCCTAATCTAGGGGCCTAGAGAATTACCCATGCTATTTTTGGGGGCTTATTGCCCCGAAGCCCTATTCTAGCTATTAAGGCCTAACCCTAAACCCTAAACCCCTAAACCCTCTATATTAATTGGGTGCTTACCCAGGACTCTTCCCTGGCATCCCGTGGGCCTGTGCAGGGTGCGGCAGGTCGGGCACTGCGGTCGGAGAAGGCTTCGCCAGAGGCAGCGGAGGCCTGAGCTGGACATTGGGGTCTCTGGCGACGGTTTAGGGTTTAGGGTTTAGGGTTAGTCAGAGTCGCAAGACGGTACGACGCAACTTCCAAGACTTTGCAGCGTCCGAGTCCACGAAATAGGAACGCTTCTGCCCTTACATCAAGACGACAAGCAGGACTTCGTCGTTTGCTCTCTCAATGTGGGCCACCTAAAAACATGTCAACGCTGAACCTCGAAACAGCCGAAAACCCAAACCTGAAAGCCATGTTCGTTTCGTTCAAGACCTACTTAGAAGCTCTGCCTCGGCCTTTCTGCATTTATGTTCGAAAGTGGTCTACGGTCCGCGGGGCAACCACATGTGCTTCGAGATTCGAAACTGGCTCTAATCCACAGGCAACGACGGCACAGCCAGCGCCAGGGCCAGCAGCAGCCCCGGCAACTTCAGCAAGCGCCGCGACGGCTGCGTCGCAGAAGGCCAGGCAACGGAATCACGAGTGTGTGTGTGCCTCTGTAAGTACACCGTGTCCTTTCCGAGATTGAACAGGTTGAGCCAAGCCATGCAAGGCAGGACAGTTTCCAGAATCGACTTCGCCGCGGCAGGTGTTGCCAGAACAGCTGCCTGCGGCCGAGGAGTTGGCAAAGAGCTTCTCTCAGCAGGATCTCCGGGCAGAGAAGGACGGCGGTTTGGCCTTTCTTAGTGTGTAAGTAGCAATTGTCACCAGAAGCGAAAGTATGGAAATCGAAGCCACGCAAGAGCAACGCTTCATGCAGCAGTCCTCGAAGGCTTTGTTCATCAACTCCAAATCCGAATAAACTATAAGTGAACCCCTAAACCCGAAGCCCTAATGGATTATGAATAAACCCTAAACCCGAAACCCTGATAGATTATAAAGAAGCCCTAATTAGATCCGCTTTAGAGATGTTGGGCCTCTGTTTGCTGGCCATCTCAGAGACTCAGAGCTTTCTAGGAGTCTGGGGAAGTCGGAAACACCAGCAAAGCCACAGAGGAGGCCCGTCGTTGCAACTCAGGGGGCTTAGGGTTTAGGCGATTAGGGTTTAGGGATTAGGGTTTAGGGTTTAGGCTATTCGGGTTTAGGGTTTAGGGTTTAGGCTATTGGGATTTAGGGTTTATGCTATTAGGGTTTAGGGTTGAGGGTTTAGGCTATTGGTGTTTAGGGTTTAGGGTTTTGGACGGCGCCTGGATTGGGAGACTCACGATTAGTTTGTTGCAGTTTTATGGTGATTTTCGGAAGGGTTCATGAGTTGGGAAACTCAGAACTGGATTCCTGCTGTTGACGGCGGTCTCTCACTATTTTGCAGCATTTCACCGTGGGAGGACAAGAACGACTGCGTAATGTTCTTCTGTACCTTTATGCATCATGTCCCCGAGTGAGTCTCGTCCCTATGCCGCACATGATGGCGGAAGCCGGAGGGATTGTCAATTTCCTGATGCAGGGTTTAGGATTTAGGGTTTAGGGCATATCATATTTTTGACCAGTATCTCGCATCAGGGCTGTCATCTAGGATCGCTGAGAAGTGTCGAAAGCCTGGAGAAGCTGCATCGTTACACTATTTCAGGACGATCTCAGCAAAGTAGGTCTGCAAGCCAAGCCTGGTTTCTTTCGGCATGAGCACCATCATGCAATTGTCGTAAGGGGGGCATCCGGGGCTGTTCTGAAGTCAGTTCCCTCAAGTTTGCCAGGTCCATCCCCAGTACAACTGCTTGCTTATCAGGGCTGTCGTAGATTCCGCGCCACGTTTGATATAGGTAAGTTTGGGAACTGATTGAGGGGTCTAGGATCGGTAAAGTCAAGCACTTGACCGATAATGTGGAGGCATCGGAAGAGACACTGCTGGAGGCGATGAAGGAGGTGGCACAGCACCGGGAGAAATGTGATGCATGTCAGGGCTTGGGGCCTTGTACGTGACAGAATTGTGTCTTTTTTTTTACCCAGTCGGCTTGCCAGCTCCTATCGCTACCCACGAATCGGCAGCATGTCATCGGCACCCGACAGCGAGAGTGCCAGAGCACAGCGGCAGGACATGAGTGATGCAAAAGCTGCAGAGGCCGGGCCGGTTTCTTGACAAGAAAATTTTGGGGTTTGGGGTTTAGGGTAGTGCCAAAGATATGAGAGTTGCAGGTGGTCGCGATGTAGAGCTGGCTGTATCGGGGAGGGCTGTTGGGGTTGAGGGTCGTGGAGTTGTCTTTTGGATTCTTGTGCTTGAGGGGTTCTTTGCCAGAGTGAAGAGCCGAGGCTTCGGTTATAGGGGCCATTCATTTGCCAGAAAGGTTGGACGCTTGTAGGAACGTCAACACATCCCTCTGCAACAGTCCGCTCTCCTGCTGCGCTTCAACAGGCGTGACAAGTTGGAACCAGGCTGCAGGTGTACGGTTCTTGATACGAGTGCTCGAAGTTTTTGCTGAAGGTTCGTAGACCCCCGCGCCACAGAACTGTCAGAACCACAAGTCGGCTGATCATCCGAAACTGATCTCGAAGCTCCTGATCTCGAAGCCGTGACGTGATGGTCTCACCGTCACCACCACCACAGCCGCCACCACCACCACCTCCACCTCCACC